TGGTGGCGCCATCTGGCGCCACTAGGCGTCACCTTGTCACGACCCTTGTTTTCACCAAAGTCGGTGTAAACTTCTGTATAAAGGTTATTTGGTGCCCTGATTACGAATATGACATTCGTTTTAGCATTACCGTTGTTATAAGCACATTTCTCTGCTGGAGAGCGCAGACGAGCAGAAAATAGGCGCCAAATAGAGAAAACGCCGAGAATGAATGCCATATACGTAATCAGTGCACCAAGTATACGGAAGTTCACACCAAATTCGATGAAAACAAGAGTCGTGACAAGGTGGCTCCAACTGGCGCCAGATGGTGCCTCAGCCAAAAATGAAAATTATTTCCGTAATCAGGGCATCGAACTACCTCTATAGGCAAATTTACATTAATTTCCAGGGTGTACAAAATTGCAATGCACGAGCGGAAGTGTTTTTACGTGATATTGATGTGGGCTGATCTACCGGAAATTAGGGCTGCATTGACAAGAGCAATACTAATAGTGACCAGCTGCTAAGGTTACGTTTTTCAATGCAGTATCCCATTTACTTGCTGTGTTGGATCCACATATCCCTTCTCGAGTGTGAAACTGTGTTACAGCAATTTTCTGATATTCTGTAATACTCTGAACAAATATGTTGTCCACAACTCGTGACTCCGTGCAGTACTGTAGTAATAAAGCTTTACTGCATTAGGTTGGTCCATTATTCTTGTAACAAACCGGCTAAATTATAACTATTAATATTTATCAACCTTTTGTTCCAATCACCCAGCATCACACACACCCTATCCTATTGCTAGCGCACGAGACGTTCGATGCTTCTCCTGTAGAACTCCACTGAATTTTGTTCAAAGAAAATCATATGTGGATTTTGACATCACGATGGCTAGGAAGAGCTTTGTTCTTTAGGAAGAGGTCTGGAGAGTGAAGCTGGTGGGCGTCCTTTGGCACGAGGTTACTGCTATAAGTAGGATACGGAAGAACTCTCTGTCTGAGAGTTTCAAAATTCCTGGATTCCCTTAACTAGAGGAGGTTCAACGGTATCATAAAAAGAAAGGCTGTCTTCCTTTCCTTTAGTACTGAAGACATTGCAATCGAGCTGTGGACAGTTGACTTTCACGTTGACTGCAACACCTGCATGTAGGTGTTTCCAGAGCTCTACTCTTCTCGTATTTCACCAGAAGTCCGAGAAGGCCCTACTTTGGCGAGGTTTAACTTCAGCTGTAAGAACTTCCAAAACGTTTGAGCTAGACTTTTGCCGCTCGCTCATTTGTTATACAACCTTCTTTTGTCTTCGTCAAATGTGATGGATGGTCAATCGAAGAATCTATAGTAAGTCCACTTGAACATGTCGATGTCGATCGTATATCCAGATCCTTTTTCAACAGCGTCAGGAAGAGCATCGAGATTGTCAGTCCTGGGAAAGTAGGAGTGTGAACCATCTCAAAGTGAAAAGTCAACGCTGAGCAGAATGAAGCGCCGGTGCACTGTGAATTGTTAGAGCCCTTGACCATATTCTGGCTGATCCTTGGTGTAGCATGGTGTAGCAAAACTCGCAACAATTAGGGGCACGAAGAACTTTTTGCAAAATCGTTGTAATATTCATAAGAAGTACCGAAACAACGAGCTGAACGGTTGGCTGAAATTACAAAGGTGGATGCAACGTCAAAACATGTTGAGGAATTTTTAGAGTTCTCCTAAAAATTCTCTAGCATTGAAGGTAATTTGTTGCAAGACTTATGGACCAACCTAATAGAAGTGAGCGATAAAGCTGTTGTAAGTCGTTTTACCTGTTGCCACGAATATTGCGTAAAAGGCGTTCTTGAATATCCTCTCTTTAGATGTAACAATAGTAAATAAAACAAGAATGTAGATGGATGCAATCAATATTTCGAATAAAGTTAGTGGTATGTCGAGCGCCATCCTGCCTAGAATTAATGGAAATTCAGGAGCGTACTAAACTAGACTTGTAAACAGACAGATGAGAATTGACGTGCGAATCTCTCAAGAAATGCTCGCATGAGTTTGCGCACCCATCACAACACATGTGAGAGGACGCTCTCTCAAGGATTACCAGTATTTGCCTCTGTCATTTCAAATGTATAGTTAGTCATTCGCAACAACCAACTAGGACGTCGTTCGCACATGTCAAATTGATAGATGCGGAGCACATGCGGGAGGCGGAGCTCAGGGAAGATAAGCAGCTCTATGACGCTGAAATAGCGCGCCTTTGACCACGAAAAGCTTCCGTGGGCCCTGATTACTGATTCCACTGGTGCACGCACTTCCATAAGAACACCTTTATCGTAATCCGTCGCTTTAAATAGTTATACCACGACTTCATGATCAGGCATTCACAGCCGAAGGTTTCTCTGATTACCTCTTCGACGCTGCAAGGCGGTTTGAACAGTCAAATACACATCTTTATAAAGCAAATACTTATATACTTTATAATATGGCAGTACATTGCTAAAGAAAGTGCTCGAAATGTTTTCTTCGGCAGCGATACAAGCTTGAAGTCTCTTTTCAACTGACATCACTGAGGGCCGCAAGCGGCTGACGTTAAGCTCCTTCCAAGCCTCCTCCAAGGAAGTTTTCAGAGAGTTCAAACTTCGACGTTGCTCAGAAGGCATCTTCTGCTTCAAGAAACCCCACACCGCCAAATCAATTGGTTCCAATCGGGCGACTTAGATGGCCAAACATTTTGTGCCCGGTAACTTGGAAAATGACGGTCACAGTTCTCCAACATTGATTCTGCGGCATGTGAAGACGCCCTGCCTTGCTGAAGAATGCAGTGACGTTCGCTGAAGGTCAAAAGAGTCCTTGGAGGAAGGGCATCACGTGAAAATTGTTTCCGGGTAGATCTGGGCGATGGCTTTGATGTATTCATCCATAAAGACAAGCGGTGTCATGGTTTCGGAAGTAATTCCTGTTCAAACCATGACAAATTTGAAAAACGGTTCCTTGTGCGTACACAAGGTCGAGCAGAATGTCTGCTAGCCAGATCCAACAACTGCCTGTCTTTTTGCAAATCGTGCGCCACTTCTAGTCTGAAAATCTACTCACGTCACGCCGACGTCAGCTACTTGCGGCCCACGGTGATGTCAGTTGAAAAGAGACCAAGCCTGTATCGCTACCAAAGGAGGCCATCTCGAGCACTTTCTTTGGTGATGAATTTTCATGTTTTATTGTATTTGAAAATAAACTTCTGAAGATATGACAGCTTCTCTTTTTGGAAATATGATCAATAAACCATACGCCAATATTTAGTAGCCACCCTGTATGCATCCACCACTTCTCAAATCCTATGCTGCATTTCCAACTCTTCAAAGACTACCATAAGAGGGTCGCTTCCCTGTTTCACGGATTGCAGCTGACACTTTGGCACACAATCGTTGTTCTCTCCTTGTCAAGAATCCCAAATTTACTTTAGCCGCACTCCGACTGACGTTGGAGCCCTGCAGGGATCTCCACTTCAGACGTGTGCGGACCCATTCCATTCTCTTCACGTCGCGGCCGAACAACTTCACAGTATTCAGTTATAGCATCTTCACCAAACTAACTTTGTTTTGCAGCAACAGATTGACCCAATGTGTTGCACATCAACCGTGCAAGAGCGCTTCGAAACCTGATGGGTTTTCAACGGAGTGGCACTACAGTTGCTTACACTTATCGTCATCGAGACATTATGATTAAGGACTGCAAAATCTAATGTAGAAATGCGGGT